GCTACTCAGGAGGCAGAGATCAGGAGGATTGCAATTCCAAGCCAGCCTGGGCAAATAGTCTGAGAGACCCTATCTCGAGAAAACCCATTGCAAAAAGGGGCAGGCCCTGAGTTCAATCCCCAGTACTACAAAAAAAAAAAAAAAAAAAAGATAGTAAGAGAACCTGATGGAGTTTGCAAAGTCACATTGAGGAAGTGACTGTTGAGCTACAATGTGAAAGGTAAGTGGAAAATTAAATAGGCAAATAGGAATTAAGACAAGGAAAGGTGGGATGAGGGAGTAGAAACTGTTCAGGCAGACAAAACAGCCTATGTCCTGAGGCAAGAAAGCAGGATACTGGTCAAATGAGGGCAATAGGGACTTTTCCCTATATTCTGCACTATTTATTCTTTCAGTACTTTAGGGGAGTAGCGACCTGAATGGATCATTGAAGAGTCTTCTGGGCATCATCTTACTCTGCAGAGACCATGACACCAAACACCAAACCACCAATCATGTCATTCTCCATCCTACTTTAAGTTTTAGTAAATGGGACCTAAACTAGGACAAAATTTGTTTGTTTTGAATGATTTTTTTTTTTCCCCAATTGGGGCAGTAATACAGACTTCACATTTGTTGTGATTTATCTGATTATTTATGCTCCACTACCTTTTTCAGAGGATGCAGTTAACAGTTTAAACCACTGGGTGGCACAAATTCACAAATTCAAGTTTCAAATTACAGCCCAAGGTGCATTAGGTAGAAGATCTAAGATTTCAGTGTAGACATGGATCCACATTCCCTAGACATTCAAATTAAGGGGCTGGGGATGTAGCTCAGTGGTTGTTTGCCCGCCATGCAGAAGACTCTGGGTTTGGTCCTCAGTACTACAAAAACATATTCAAATCAAGGGAAATTTTTATCATTGAATGATTGGTAAGTCAGATAATTGAGTAAGGGAAATAAAAAGATAGGGAAACAGTGTTGGAATGAGAGAGAAGAGAGAAAGATATTTGAGACACAAGAATATAAATCTAGAAAGATGAATTCAAGTGTTACCAAGAATTACAGTATGGGTTCTCATTGATTTTCCTCTCTGTAGTAACCGATAGCAGCTTTTAATGAAAATAAAGATTATCTTGTCTCATACAGAAAATCAGTTATGCTATGCTTAACTGTCTTTTTGGTGGTGTGACATTATTAAGACATAATTTGAGTATCTACTATGAACAAGGACATTTATGAATACAAAGTTATATGTACAAATTAATACAAGCACAAGAACCAAAAAGTATACATAAAAAGATAAATACCAACTGAATGCAGCATGAGAGTCATTGTGCGAATCCAGGAACTAGAACTGTTTTTTACACGTTTGCCCCTTCTGCCTTACTGGGGTTTGAATTCAGGGCTTCACACTTGCTAGGTAGGCAGTCTACCACTTGAGCCACACCCTCTAGCCCCCAAAATGGAATTGTTTCTGAGTGTAGGAGAAAGGGGATAAATGTGAGGGGAAGAGGGGATCATTGGACTTTCAACCTGCCTAAGTCAGGATAAAAATTAATAAATAAAGGACTTCTGGCCCCTGGTTATAAGTAACATAGTAACTTCCTTGGAAAATGGCTAGACATAGCATTGTTAAAATGCTCAAGGTCAAAATCTGGACAGTGCTTAAAGAGGGTCCAAAATAGGGCTAGGTGGAGGTTGAAAATGATTAGGGCTGTTGCTCCCCCTAAGCCTACCCCTGCACTAGCCTGGGGGTACAGAATGCTCAGCCTGGCATGGAGGTGGAGGCAGAAGGATGGAAAGTTAAGTTTGGGCTACATAATGAGATCCAGAATATTAGGTCACTTCAATTTTTGAGATCACAGTTATGTCTAAAGAATGACTAACTGGCAAAACAGAGATATAAAATTGTGGCATATTTTAAGAGTTTATAGTTTATAAAGTAATGCTTTTTAACACACAAATACAGCTATTTACTTAAGATTGTTAATAACTTCAAGTTTTAGTGGAGGCTTTTGTGAATGTGCCTTCTTTGCCCTAAGCAACTGTCTACCTTAATGTTTGTACCTATCAAAAATATTGAGGTAACACAGACCCTTCAAAAGGTGGAAGGACTTCTAATTCCCTTTAAGACTTGAAAATGAACACAAGAAGTGTGCCAGTTGGAAATATGGTAGTAATATATCATCCAAAAAGGGGTTCAGGTTAAAAGTAGTACTAAGAGTATGATGTTGTATAATGTATGTGTCTTTTTACAATATGCATATATATTTACAAAGTCTGTTAAGAGATATATCAGTGTTTACAGTGGTTTTCTCTGGGAGGAGATACTAAAGTATAGCTTTTATTCTTTGATTCCTTTATTCTTTATACTTTATTTTCTAAAAACTTTTATAATGAGAATGTACTTTAATAATCAGAAAAGCAAAGTATGATAACTTAATGAGAAAGAATTTGCAATAGAAACCAGGCATTTTGCAGAGGAGTATGTAGCATTCCATTGAAACAGTGTTTTATCTAGTTGCATCTATATTTGTAACACTGGGACTCATGTCTAGCTCTGGAGCAATTTGCAGACTAAAGTCCACATCTCAAAATCCACATAGGAGCTCTCCCTTCTTTTCTGACATCTCTCTTTTATTTATTTATTTGTGGTACTGGGGTTTGAACCCAGGGCTTCACACTTGCTTGGTAGATAGACACTCTACTGCTTGAGCTGTGCCTCCATCCTTCTGTCAATCTAATCTCTTCAATTTAAAAAATCTCCACTGGTAAGGGAATATAGGATTCAAAATTGTTAACTGATTAAAGAGTCAGAAAATCTTCACATGGGTCTTGCTTTGCCAGGGAAAATAGTTATCCCCAATGCAAATTACAGAATTTTGAATTTTTATAAAGAAAGTCCTTATGAGTGTCACCTAAATTATACTCTTGAAAAAGAGTTGATGAGTGTAGACTTTGCCACAGGTTTCATCTTCTGAGAAATCTCATGTTTCTAGATGAAAGGACATTCTATAGCAGGTGAGGCTGAGAAGGGTGGGGATAAATGTAAGTTTTTTAATCCTAGACCAAGAACTTCTTGGACTAGAGGTGTGGTTCAAGCAATAGAGCACTTGCTTTAAAAGTGGAAAGCCCTTAGTTCAAACCCCAGTCCACCAAAAAAGAAAAAAGAAGAAGAAAAAAGAATTTCTAAGAACATAATGCTTTTAGCTGGGCTCTGGTGGCCCACCCCTGTAATCCTAACTACTCAGGAGGCAGAGATCAGGAGTATCACAGTTTGAAGCCTTCCTGGGCAAATAGTTCAAGAGACCCTATTTCGAAAAACCCTCCACAAAAAAGGACTGGTGGAGTGGCTCAAGGCATAGGCCCTGAGCTCAAGCCCCAGTATCACACACACAAAAAAAGAATATAATGCTTTTGATGGGCACTGATGGCTCACACCTATAATCCTAGCTACTTAGGAGGCTGAGATCGGGAGGATCACAGTCCAAGGCCAGCCCACACAAAAAGACCCCATCTCCAAAAATAACCAGAGCAAAATGAACTGGAGGTGTGGAGTATGAAGCCCTGAGTTCAAACTCCAGTCCCATCAAAAAAAAGAAAAAAAAAAAAAAAGAATATATGCTTTTAATCATCCTTCCTCCTGGTCCTGGGAAAAAGCAGTTATTTCTGCCCCCCCCGCCTCCCCCCGCATTTTGTGGTCAACCTAAATATCAGGTGGCAGGATACATGTGCAGTGATGTTGTAAATCATAGCAAGATGCAAACAATATACTCATTTATCCACAGGCCACCCCAGTGTTCTGTCCTCTCTGTCTACTGTGTGTGCAAAGCGTGCTCTGGCAGATCTTCAGAGGATATTTACAGTTTCCTTGAAACCTGTCATCACCCATGTTTTGTGTCTGTCCTGTCTTTTCTAGGCTCACTTGTTCCTCTGCTAGTACAGTTTTGAGACTTACTTTTTTAAACAATACTTGAAATGAAGAAAGAAGGATATAATATATGTATGGTCTCTACCACAGACTTAAGAAAACATAATTACTTAGAAGTAGGTACAGTTTAGCAAAATGAAATGGTTTCAGAATCTTATGAAAAGACACAGGATGATACCCTGCCATTCCCTTTTCACCCAAACACTGCTTCAAGATCAGCTATTTCCACTTTCTCAGCAAACTCCCTCTTTTTTTTTTCCCCTTTGGTGGTACTGGGGTTTGAACTCAGGGCCTCACACTTGCTAGGCAGGCGCTCTACCACTTGAGCTACTCCACCAGCTCAACTCAGCAAACTCTTATTCAATTATAGCTATGTCCTTATGAGAAAGACCATTGTCCTTATCATTTTGATCTGGAATCCTTGCCCAACCTGTATACAGCTCACTATTGAAATAAGGCATAATATTAGACCTGCTTTAGAAATTTTGTACTCTCAGGAGACTTCGATAGAGTAATATTTTTCTGCAATCCCTAAACCCCTTGGGGGTGACTTCTGAGGAGGACTTTTGGAACGTTTAAGGTCAGGTTTCCTTTACAGTGTATTGATAGATACATGTAGTGGCAGAAGTAAATCATAAACTGTATGAACATAGTCCTGGGAGAGCAGGTGTCCCAGTACAAGCTAATTGATAGCCAGTGAGCATGAATCAGTTGTGAATATAACAGAGTTGGGATATGTGCCACACTCTAAGTTACCCTGTGCAGTTCCTTGGTGACAGAGAAATACAGTCCATTCATAGTGCTGAAAGGAAAGCCTTTGTCTTCATTTGATGTCATGGAAAGATATCTGTTTTTATGGACGTACAAAGTGAATCCCAGAGGCTTGTGGCTACATCAGTAGCAGTGGCATGAGGGTAACTCTAATCAGCTCAGGCTTTCCTTTTACTGTCTGGGCATTATTGTTTGATTATAATGTTCTCGATGAAAATATGAGTGTAACATTGGCAAGAAACTGTCCATACTGATTCACAATAGAGAGAAGACAGTGTGTAGAAGAAGACAGTGTGATGCAGTGAAGAACTTTTCAGAAGTATGTCTGGTGGATAACAATGATCCCTGTAGCTTTCTTTGAGTTTGATGACTTAGGAACATCTTGTCCAACTTAGAGATCAAAAGGAAATATAGAAGGATGCAAATGAACATTTCTTCATATATCAACAAAGGGATTACTAAATATAAAACCCCATATAATTCCAAGTACCCTTCATTTTGCCTCGTTTCTTTCTTTCTTTTTTTTTTTTTTTTTTGGTGGTACTGGGGTTTGAACTCAGGGCCTCCTGCTTGCTAGGCAGGCAGTCTTACCATTTGAGCCACTCCACCAACACAAAAAATGCTTTTGTATTGTTTTTATCAGGACTGGTGTCTGAACTCAGGGCCTTGAGTGTATGCTAGGCAAGCAGCCCTTTGGCTTTGGTTATTTATTTTTTTGGCGGTACTACGATTTGAACTCAGAACCTCACATTTGCTAGGCAGGCAATCTACCATTTGGGCCACTCTGCCAGCCATTTTGCCTCTGTTACCCAATAATTATACTAAGAAAACATAGCACTGAATTACACCTATGAATGTGAACCTACAATTAGTTGGAAACTGTAATCCATTAGTAAAGTATCCATTCCCTTTTGTGTGTGTTGTACTGGGGCTTGAACTCAGGGTCTACATCTTGAACCACTCCACCAGCCATTTTTCTTTTCTTTCTTTCGTTTTTTTTTTTTCTAGCAGTACTGGGCTTGAATTCAGAGTCTTCACCTTAAGCCACTCTGCCAACCCTTTTTGTGAAAGGTTTTTTCGAGATAGGGTCTTGCGAACTATTTGCCTGGGCTGGCTTTGAACTGCATCCTCCTGATCTGTGCCTCTTGAGAAGCTAGGATTACAGGCGTGAGCCACCAGTGCCCAGCCCAGCCATTTTTCTTGATAGGTTTTTTCAAGATAGGGTCTCATGAACTATTTGCCCAGGTTGAACTATTTGCCCATCTGATCTGTGCCTTCTAAGTAACTAGAATTACAGGTGTGAGCTACCAGTACCCAGCATTCTATTGAATTTTTATGTACTTTCTAAATGCCAGACAATTATGGACATAATTATGATCTCTTTTTTATCTGTTTTGGTGGTACTGGGGTTTGAACTCAGGGTTTTGTGCTTGCTAGGCTGGTACTGTACTGCTTTAGCCATGCCTCCAGCTCTTTTTGAGCTGATTATTTTGGAGATAGGATCTCGCTTTTTGCCCTGGCTGGCCTGGACTTCAATCTTCCTTTTCAGGTTTTCTTTTGTAGCTGGGATAGATAGGGGCAGGCTATCATACCAGCTTTTTTTTTTTTTTTTTTTTTGAGATTGGGTCTTGTAAACTTTTTAATCCAGGCTGGCTTCTGATCCTACAAAGTAGCTAGGATTACAGGCATGAGCACCCAGCTTTTTTTTGTCAATGTTTTTTCCTCCCAAACTATAAGCCTCTTTCAGGTAGGGAATGTGACACATAGGTTTTCAGTAAATTTTGTGGAATAGATGAATGAGTCAATAAATGGCAGTATAGCAATTAAAAGAAATAGATTCTAGTTCTGTTTCTATCAGCTGTATGACCTTGGGAAAGTCACATATCATCTCCAAGCTTTAAATTGCTCTGGCTATACCTCTCAGGATTTTTGTGAGGTAAAAATGAGGTAATATGTATAAAATTGTTGCCTTATGACTTTTTTTTTTTTTTTGGCAGTACTGAGTTTTGAATTCAGGGTCTCACACTTGCTAGGCAGGTACTCTTATGTACTATCCCAGTCCTTTTTTGTGATGAGTTTTTTTTTGAGATAACGGCTCCTGAATGAACTGCAATACGTCTGATCTCTGCCTCCTGAGTATTTTAGGATTACAGATGTGATCCATGAGTGCCCAGCCTTATTACTATTTTTTATTAATACCTTTATCATTTATGTCCACGGGAGTTGGTTACCTCTAATTCTTCAAGCCTGTTTCTTCCAGTATTCAGTAGAAATGATAATGTTGATTGGAGTAAAGAACTAAAAATATACCATGTGATAAACTCATACGAATTAGTATGAATTCATCATCTAATACTACAAGGAATGGAATTGTAAAAAATATTAATATAGAAGAATTATAACCTGTTAGAAGGTTATCACAGACATCTGATGAAAGATGATATGATTTAGACTATACCTGGCATTAACTTTTAAAGTGTTAGAAAACTTGTCTGAGGGAGGGGGTGGGGGCAGGGGGGAGAAATGACCCAAGCCTTGTATGCACATATGAATAATAAAAGAAAAAAAAAAGAAAACTTGTCTGCTTGCCTGGTGAACGTTGTAGATGTCTTAGGGAAGGTGCCCATCAATTTCTAATATTTAAAGGCTGAGACCACTCCAGGTAGGGAACCTAAATTTAAAGCAGCCGTGGATAGCCAGTAGTGTAGTGTCTGTCTCAGACACCAAAGGGTATTATTACTTAATAATGTTGTCAAGAAGCCCAAAGACAAGGAATAAGGGTGTTGCTTTGCCAAGTCTTCAAACTGTGTTCAAGTGTGGTAGATCCTAAACTTTGCTGGATATAGAATTGCTTAGGATGGGGGCTAAACACGTATTTTGTGGATTCTAGAGCTCTCATAATTTTGGGAAACCTTCTTAAATAAAAAGAATAGAAATTTTAAAAATACAAATTTGGATACAAGGCCTTGAACAGGGCCTATGGGTCCTAAAGATAAAGGTTTATTAGTTTCACGTAAATGCACCTCTTTAGGGGGCTTGTTAAAAGTACTAAAAATAAGCTGGGCATCGGTGGCTCATATCTGTAATCCAAGCTACTCAGGAGGCAGAGATCAGGAAGATCGCAGTTTGAAGCCAGCCTGGGCAAATAGTTTGAGAGACCTTATCCCGAAACAAAGAAATCACAAAAAAGGGCTGGCAGAGTGGCTCATGGTGTAGGCCCTGAGTTCAAACCCCAGTACTGCAATAAATAAATAAATAAATAAATAAAAATAAGCTGCAGACAGTAGTAGCTCAGGCTTGTAGTCCCAGGTACTCTGAGGCTGAGTTGGGAGGATCACTTGAGCTCAGAAAGAAGTTTCAGGCCACTCTGGGCAACATAGCAAGACCAGAAAATAAGATTAAAAATAAGATTCCTGGCCATACTCTAGATATTCTGTGTATCGAGGTCCCAGAAATACATATTTTCCATAAGTACCCTATTACATTATGGCTGAGCTGATGTTAGGAAAACAACAGCACAAATACCTATTACCAAATTACTCACATTTGCTTTATAACTGAAGCAGCTCCCTGCCTCCCAGTACATATATGTTAACCTTATTTTCTCTAAACAAATGGCATAAACCATACAGAGAACACTTCCCTTTTTAGGCTGTGGGGCAAGCTGGGGTTCATCTATCCCAGACTGCTGGTCTCCTTCCTTCTTTTTTATTTTTCATAACTGTTGGCATTGGCACAGCCTTCTGGCCTTTTGGCACCAACTCTGAAAGGAAACAAATGACTGATATTAACTTCAGTAGCTCTTAAACATTTGATTATCTTCCAAGTCTCATTAGAACTACCTTCCTAGAAAATGGAGAAAGCTGAAGCCAGATGTGGAGGCATATACCTGTAAGCCCAGCACTTAAAAGGCTAAGTCAGTAGGATCTCCAGTTTAAGGTCAGCCTGAGATATGTAGCGAGACCCTGTCTCAAAAAACAAAACAAAACAAGATAAAAAGTCAAAAGACTTATATCCAGAGTATATAAAGAACTCTAAAAACTCAATAACAAGGTCTGGCATGTTGCCACATGCCTGTAATCCCAGCACTCAGGAGACTGAGGATTATGAGTTCAAGACCAGCTTGAGTTGTATAATGAGATCCTATCTCAACTCTCTCCCCTACAAGACCCCCACTTCAATAACAAAACAAAACAAAAAAGAGAATGAAGGAAAGGAAGTCACATTTAGTGAGCACCTGTTATGTGCTTGGCGCCTCTCACACAGGATCCCATAACACTTGCAAAGCAAATATTATGAGTCCCACTTTACAGATGAGGCAGCTGAGGTTGGTAAAGTCAAGCAACTTTTCCAAAACCACTTAGCTAGAGAACATGAGTGACAGATCTGTCCAAACTCCAAAGTCTGTGCTTTCATCATTACGTCAAGCTGCCTTTGGAACAGAAGTCTTTATAGATCAAGTCCAAGGACCCAATACATGAGCAAACTTACAGGGCATGGGACTTCAAAAATGACAAATACTATAATGGCAGTCCACTGAGCAACAATGTAGCAGCAGTCAGAACTTTGACCACAATTCTCCATTTCTGCCTCATCTCTAGGTTCTTGTCTGTGTCTAAAAGGAGAGAGACAGGTGGAAAAAAAGGAAAAAGGAGAATTTGAACCAGGGAGGAGATTAACTCTTGACTTGAAGGTCTAGCTCATAAACTCATAGGGGCCCAACCTGACTTAGAGCCAGAGGCTGAATTCCTATTTCAGACTCAGAATCAGGGGTGGGGTGGGCATCACAGGCTTTTCTCTAACCTCTTTTGCTTCATCTTCTCAATGAGTTACCTTCCCTGGAGTTTGGGATTTTCCATATTTATTCAGGGCTGATTCTTGTATTGTTCTTGGGAAGAAAATCTTTGGGTGCACAAGGAGTTCTAAACTTATCTTTCTCTATCAGCCCTCTCAGAGTCTCTGTCCTCTTCTTTTTTTCCCTTTTTTTGCAGTACTGGAGTTAGAACTCAGAGCCTACACCTTGAGCCGCTCCACCAGCCCGTTTTTGTGATGGGTTTTTTTGAGATAGTGTCTCTCGTACTATTTGCTCCAGCCGGCTTCAAACTTCAGTCTTCCTAATCTCTGCCTCTTGAGTAGCTAGGATTATAGGCATGAGCCACCAGTGCCCAGCCCCCTACCATTTTTTAAAAATGACCTTTCCTTCACTCCTCAGCACTGGAAAGAAAAAAAAATGGAAAAGAAAGTCACCTTTCCTATGCTTCTCTTGGTTTAAGCAGGTTATAGGAGGAACAAAGGTGAACTGGCATTGCCTCTGGGTCATAAGCCAAATCTGGGGCAAATGGCTCATATGCATTTCATTATTACTTATCTCATATTTATTTTTCTCCTGGTAGGAACTACGATGTAATCCAATCTCAAATCTTACAGATTGGGATGGGGAGGAGGTTGAGGGGTTGATCTAACAAATGAACAATATAAGCCTAATTGGATTTGTCACTATGATCCCCACCCCCATAATGAATATACCCTAATAAAAAATTTATAATAAAAAAAACTTAGAGTTTGAGTCCTGGCTCAGTTAGGGAGAGCTATTTTTAAAAACAGTGAATATGAAAGCATGCACTTCTTTGTACCATCACTATAATAGTTGCTTAATGTTTAAATATTATCCGTCTACACATGCAGTGGCTGGAATTACCTACCGCATGGATATGATTTGTTCTGTCCCTAAATCTGGCTATGGGTGTGTTCACTTCTGTGGAAGAAAGGATCATTGATGGTGTCAAACGCAAACATTTCTGGGACCTTTCTCTAGAGAAGCTCATTCTTTTCCATAGAAAAATAGAATGATTTTCTAATACGAACTCCAACTTTTCAATTTCCAGTAAAATCCAATGAGACCCAGACTAAAGTTGGAGTAAAAAAATTTTTCTTTTTCTTTCTGTTCTTGTTTTACTCCTACTTATTCTGTACCTGGTATCAAAGGGCTAGAAAAATCACCAGTACTTGTAGTTGTCTCTCCTTTATTCTCAGGAATTGTAGATGTGGTAGTGATGGTAAAAGTGTCTGATGAAGCCTTCATCACTGAGTAGACCTTACAGTGGGAAATCCCTGGTAGAAAAACTGTAAAACAAGAATCAATGAAAGGACAACTTTAGGGTAAAACTTTATCCTACTTTGATTTGATGTAACAACAAAGACAAAATTCTAGTTTTCTCCATCTGACATTAAAACCTTTTTTTTTCTTTTTTTTTGGTGAGGTACTGAGGATTGAACCCAGAGCATTGAGCTTCCTAGGCAAGTGTTCTACCACTTGAGCTATAGCCCTTTTGTTTTATTTTTGAGCTAGTGTCTAGCTAACTTTGCCTGGGCTGGACTCCAACTCAAGATCTTCCTGTCTCCACCTGAGTGTCTGGGATTACTGTGTGTACCCCTATGCCCAGTCCTGATATTAAACTTCTAATTGTGGCCCCATTGACCTGTATGTCCATGGGTTTAGGGTGTAGGCACAAAATAATGCCAAGAATAAATGAGGATAGAGATACTAAGAAGAGATATGGATTAAATCTCCATGAAGCCTTTGACTAGCACAGGATCAGAGTAAAGTAGTGAACCATATCTTGTTTGCCTCTCATTCTTAAGGCTATAATAGTAATAAGGATGGAGGGTGTAACACTGTTGAAAGTTTCCTTCTTTAATAGGAAATAGGCTCCAAAGTCTAAGGAAGAATGTGAAATGTAATTTGCCTGAATGACTGCTGCAAGTCTGTTTAGTGGAGTTCAAGTCAACTACTCCAAGAGGGGATTAGGGAAAGTAAGAGAAACTAGAAGATGGAAAGGCCGCACATCTTCATATACTCTTCAGTTTCATTCATTCAGCAAATGTTCAAAAATGGATATCTATTATGCACTAGGAAGTGCTTCAGTATTTTGTATATATTAGTTCATTCTGGATACATTCCAGCAAGGGAGCAAACAAAGAGGAATGAGGATTAGGAGGAAAAGCAGAAGAATGAATGAATACACTGAATGAATATAATACACTTTATAGTATATTAGGAGGGGAGAAGTTGTACTAAAAAAAAAAAAACTAGAGATAAATAAGAGAGTAGTGAGGAGTGCAAATGGGCAATAGTTGAGCAACCTGTAGTATAGGCCAAGTCTCATTGAGAAGATGAGAATTGAGCCAAGGAGGTGAGGTGCTCACTAAGCAGATGTTTGGGGAAGTAGTGACCTAGGCAGAAGGGATGCTGAGAGTAAAGGCCCTGAGACAGAGTACATCTGGCATGTTACAGTTGTAGAGGAGTTAACAAGGTGGCCAGTGAAACAGCATGGAGTGAGCAAAGGGGACAATTAACAGGAGATGAGGATCTAGAGGAAACAGGTCCATATCACCTAAGGCCTTGTAGGCTAGCTTAAGAACTTTGGTTTTTATTCTAATTGAAATGAGGATCTATTGCAAGGTTTTTGTGCAGAAGAGTAACAGTATGGGGGGAAAGGTAGAAGAATCATAACCTGTTAGAAGGTTATCGCAGATATCTGATGAAAGATGATATGATTTAGACTAGGAATGGAAGTGATGAGGAGAAGATGGATTCTGGCTGTAGTTTGGAACTAACTTCATATGCCTTCACTATTGCCCTAACTTAATTCAGACAGTGGTTTCTGTTCCATTTTTTTCCTATTCCATTTTTGAAGGTCTGATGTCATCACTTATTAAATTAAGGACTATAAATTCAACTTGACATTTCTAAATTATTCCTTCAAGTCTTGGATTAAGTCCATTTGGAAATGGATTTCAGAGACTGGTGGCCACAGGCCCAGGCATTATATGTGAAATTACAGGGGAAGACATAGTCCTTGATTTCCAATTGAATGAGGAAGACGGTGTTGGCAAAGATAGGTAGAAAAATTCTTAAAGTTAACAGGTTCAACTGGGGAACAAGGAAATTTACAGCATAATATCAATCAGTTCTCTGAAGTGACAGCATACATGTTTATGAGAGATATGAGATAAAGATAAGTTACTCTCATCTTGGGACAAATTGCACAAATTTCTGACTTGTTTTTCTTTCCCATTTGTAAGGAGGTTACAGTAAAATGATACTTCATATACCTATTTCTCAGGGGTATGGTGAAGATCATAAGCAAATAAAAATGAGAAAGCAGGTGTGAAAACACTTTGCAGTCTGAGTGATATTATGATTAAAAGAGGAGGAAAAACCTTTTTAAGAAGAACTCTGCCCTCAGCCAGGAGCCAGTGGCTCCGCCTGTAATCCTAGCTACTCAGGAGGCAGAGATCAGGAGTTCAAAGCCAGCCCAGGCAAATAGTTCTGCAAGACCCTATCTTGAAAACCCTTCACAAAAATAGGGCTGGTGGAGTGGCTCAAGGGGAAGGCCCTGAGTTCAAGCCCCAGTACAGCAAAAATAAGTAAGTAAATAAATAAGTAGAACTGTGCCCTCTAATCACAAGGATAATAACAGTATTTCAGTGTAGCATGTGTTCCCACCTCCTGGGAATTGCAACTTTAAATCTACTAAATGGGCTTCATCTCTCAGTGTATTTTCTTTTTCTTTTTTTGTTATTTTCAGTTTTGCCTCATTTCTAAATTAATGTCCATCCATGTTGGCAGCAGCTCATCTCTTTAAAATCTCATCTGTTAGATAGCAGAACATCAAGGTGGAGCAGGTTTGTAAATACAAACACTGCACTCAGCAATGATGGAATTGCAATATTAGCTTTCCTTTGGCTAAAATATTTAAACAAGAATGTCCTAGTTTAATGATATATAAAAAATCCAAATTCATGAAATGGACAACATAGAAGATAATAATTTATAGTCACAAAGGATGCTTTGTTTTACAAAAAAATTTCTTTTAGGGAACATTAAATACATTATATTTAAATAGCAATCTGAGAGTATTCTCTGATAATACATACATGTTGAAGAACCATCTGAGAGGCCTTGTGCTTTAAGATCTAACCCTCAAGCAGGGCGCCAGTGGCTCATGCTCATGATCCGAGCTACTTAGGAGGCAGAGATCAAGAGGATGGCAGTTCGAAGTCAGCCCCAAGCAAACAATTCCTGAGACCCTATCTTGAAAAAAACCATCACAAAAAAAGGGTAGGTGGAGTGGCTCAAGCAGTAAAGCACCTCATGCTAGCAAGCATGAGGCCCTGAGTTCAAACCCCAGTACTGCCAAAAAAAAGAAAAAAAAAACTAATCCTCAGCTCTACATATCTAGAAATTAGACCATCTAGTCAAATCTCCCATATATAGTTACAGAAATTGAGCACTGGGGAAGTTAAGGAACTTGTCAAAGGTGATAAAATCACAATAAACACTAGCTTGATGTTATTTTTCCTATATCCCACAATTTTGTATGGTGTCACCAGACCTTAGGAATCCACAATAACCAAATTCCAAAAAGCCTAATCCATCTATTAAAATGACATTTGAAAAAACTTATATAAGGGGAAAATACTTTGAAATGGATCAGATAAGATGTTTTACTTGTATTGTATTCTAAACATATAGGTCCCTATGAATCCTAATATATAATTAGAAATTTTCTTAATTGATATAGAATCTGAGTAATAAGAACAGGTAGTATAAAGTATATCACAAATGATGAAAACATAATGAGTCAGAAGGAAATTTCAGAATATTTGTAACAGAGGGTCTTTTCTTTGATTAACTTCCACAAACAGTAACAAATAGTCTTCATCTTACCTTTTTCTGCATTCTTTGTTAACCCATGTCTTCTGATTATCATCTGTGTTGCAGAAAATTCTCATCCTTACAGTTTCAAACTCCTATTTTACTCTGAGGATATGTTCATGAACTGTCTTTTGTTTCTCAGATATCCTCCTAAGAAGACTAATCTCATCCAGAATGCATCTGTTTTATGACCTTGTAAATTTGACCATTTTCCTAATTTTTATTTCTGTCCTATTTGAGATATATTACATTGTGGTACTCAATGTGGGTTTAAATTTAGAATAGGCAGTTTTAAACTTATAAAAGAGGTTATGTTTCAAAAGTCCATTCATAAGTTGGTTGTTTGGGATTCATCATTATTGTTTCATAGGAATGTATGGTGAATGATGATTAGGTCCCCAAACTAACCCACAGACATCAATTTGGTCTTTCTGCATGGTGAAAATAGTACAGGGTACTAGCTTAAATTTTGGATCTCAGAACTAACCACCATCTCACAGTGTTAAAATATTTGCCTTGCACTAACCTCCTAAGAAAGAAGGAAGACTCTTCCTACTGGGAAGAGCTCAAGGCTGGGAGGCTAACTCCAGACAAAATTTTTAATTAGGTCAGATTGATCTTTGGTATATCTCCTCTCTCTTAATTTCCCAGTTTCCTTCTCAAGAATTTGTGAAGTCCTTAATTACCCTAGTCCCACAAGGCATAGCATTCTATCACTCCATCCAGAGCACAACAGACTTCAAAATGACCAATTCCACTATTTCCCATTACTTCTGCTGTCAACTCAAGCAAGTTGTTATATGTTAGGAGGAAAACAGTCTGAAATGAGTGACTGAGTGTTGAGTGACTGACAGTCCAAAGCCCTGCCACAGGCTTTTGAGTTTTTAAGAGCTTTTTTTCCTCACACAATTATCAGCAGTAAAATTGTAGAAAATAAGCCAGACACTGGTGGTTCACACCTGTAATCCTAGCTACTAAGGAGGCAGAGATCAGGAGGATAGTGATTAGAAGCCAGCCCAGGCAAATAGTTCATGAGACCCTATCTCAAAAAAACCCATCACAAAAAAGGACGGAGTGGCCCAAGGTGTAAGCCCTGAGTTCAAGCCCCAGTACTGAAAACTGTAGAAAGTATAATAAAGTAAGTGAAATATTCAAGTCATGTAAGGCTATGTAGTTTATTGTACGTTGGCCACGTCCATAGAACCTAGACACTTATTTTCCAATTTCTAGTTTTCTAACTAGAAATTTAAAGTTTTCCCCCATTATTTTGCTTATAAATTCTCCAGTTTCTCCACAAATGCCAAGTTTTATTTTTCCAATAGTATAGCAGCAAGGTATAAGGAATCGCCTGTATGTGAAGGGAGAACTGCCTATGTTGATCTATTAATCAGAAACTACTTAACAACAACAACAAAAATGGGTGAGAGAAGGAAAGGAAAGCAGAAGTAGAGAGAGACTTAAGGCTGAGGTCAAGAACAACTGCCAAGTAATTGTGGAGAATGAGCATCCTTACAGTGTAGGTGGGAGTACAAGCTGGATCCATCTCTCTGGAGGACGATTTAGCAAAATCTATCAAACCACTGATGCAGCAATCCTGCTTCTTAGAATTTATCTTCTTGATAAATTACAGTTACACAAGAAAAATGCATAAGGTCATTGCTTACAGCATTATTTATTCTTGGAAAAGGCTGAAAACAACCAAAATATCCATCAATAGGGGTCTAGTAGAATAAATTATAGTTCAGCCATGCAATAGAAAACTGTACAACTATTAAAAAGAATGAGGCAGGGTTGGGGATGTAGCTCAGTGGTAGAGTACATGCTTAGGACTGGCAAAATCATGCATATTGATATGGAACAAATCAATAAGATATTAAGTGGAAAAAGCAAGGTGCTGAATAGTGTGTATGATGTGCTATCATTTACGCTTTTTAAATATGTTCAAAACATGCTTAAGAGTATCCCTGGAAGTCTGGGTGCCTGTGGCTCACACCTATAATCCAAGCTACTGAGGAGGCAGAGATCCGGAGGATTGAGGTTCAAACTCAGCCTGGCCAAATAGTTCGCAAGAGCCTATCTTGAAAAAACCCATCACAAAAAAGGGTTGGTGGAGTGGCTCAGGGTATAGGCCCTGAGTTCAAACTGCAGTACTGCAAAAAAAAAAGTACCCCTGGAAAGGAGTTACAGTAATGGTTCCCTAAGGATTGAGAATTTGATGATTGAGAGATAGGAAAAGGAGACTTACTTTTCACTCTTCTGTGCTGTTTGAATATTTTTCTGTGTGCATTCAAAACAAGCAAAATTCAAAAAAAAGTCGAAAGAAGACTCATCAGAAATAAAAAGTCATATGAACATCACAGGATACCAGTGCTAGAAGGGATTTTAGAAATTAGAAAACTGATTTTCAGAGAGGATGTAGATTTGTCCAAGGGGAGAATAATCCATTTCCTTGTAACTTTAACTACCATCAAGGGCATCGACCAAAAGTTAGTGCCTACCTCTGTCTCCTTTTCAGATCTTACCTTTGCCTGTTGGAAGATATTCAGTCTGAAACTTGGATGTAGCGGTTAAGTGACAGTTTGGAGAGGCAGAGCTATTTCTTTGGGGATTAGCAATGGCTCTCAGGTTCTTCAGAATATGCTTGACCTCTGGCCTTCTCTCTGAATATAGAAGATTGACTTTCACTTTGCTCCCAGAGCCAAGGCACTGCAGGATAGCCATAGTCTGATTATGGATAGATGTGGCTCTTTTGGCTTCTGAGTGAGTTTCTGGAAGAAGAGCCATACAGAAAAATGAGGCTGTTGCTTAATCTGAACAATGCCCAGCTGACCCAGCTCCATTCATGTCTCCTGTTAAACTCCATTGCTGTACTTTCCCCTCTCTTAGTTCACCTCCTCCTTAGTATGTGTTTGTATACTAAATATATAAGCTGTGCTTTTCTTCCTTCCAGCCATGCGTACCATGAAGACAGGTGAGTTTACTGAGATAAACTCAACACAGAAAATGCTCATAGATTGTTTTCTTTAATGCAGAGAGGGCTAGATACTCCTTCTTCTTTTTCTTCATCCCCATCTGTCAGATTTATACAAGCATGTCTTAGGTAATAAGTTGATTTAAAAATTAGTTTCCAGTCTAGGGGGTTATATATCTTTAAAATAGGCTATTTGAGATCTGGGCTTAGAAGGTGGGAGGCAAGGCATTTTTATAGGTAAAAAATTCTTAGCAGGCTGGTGGAATGACTCAAGTGATAGAATGTCTATCTAGCAAGCATGAGGCACTGAGTTCAAACCCAAGTACTGCCCCCCCCCCCAATTTCTTGGAATGGATGGCAAAGTGATTTTTCAGAAAGGGCCCATTCCCTACCTTGCATTAACAAATTCCTGATGCTTCTCACATCCTTTGGGAAAAGCTCAAGCAGCTGCTCCACTTGGTAGTTTCTATTTCCAAGGTCTAGGGGTGAGGAGGGGTGGGGAGAGAAGGGGGGGAAGGACAGGATTTACTGGGTATTTTCTCATTAGAATTCTGGGCATAGGAGGGAAATGCAAAAGAATGAAGTTCCTGTTCATAAACTTGCAACTGGGAAAAAAAACCCACAAAACTTACAACTGGGGACATCAAACACTCCCTAAAAAAGACTTTAAAACAGCTAAATGCATTCAAGTAGAGTTATCCTTCTATAAAGAAAACTGAGCACCAATCTATTACTTTTAGGAGAAAGAAAAGTGAAAGAGTTAAGTTACTAAGTCAATGAAAGACTAATCAATTTATCCCTTCAAAAATATGTTTATTTTCTCTTCTCCCTCCTATTGCAGATAGCAAAGAGAACCTCCAAAAGTTTAAATATTTCCTTAGACATAGTATCTTTATAGATTTCCACAGAATATAGATTATAGTTATTTACGTTTTTTGGATATGACTCACAGGGTGTGGCAATTTTCTTAATTTGTTAAATGTCTTACTTCTATACCTTATAGTATCTTGTCTTAACTTTGACTAGCTAATTTTAGAGATGAAACTTAGCTAATTGTAGAGGGAAAACTTTGAGAAATCGTTATTTTTGAGACAATATCTAGCTATGTAGCCCAGGCTGGCCTTGAACTCTTGATCTTCCTGCCTCAGTCCTTCAAGTACTCTACTATCATGCCTGGTGAAAATAGCATTTTAAATAAGCAGTTACCACAGAACAGTAAATAGTGCCATTCCACCCCATATCACCTTTCCCTCAGCTCTCGCTCTCTCTCTCTCTTTTTTTTTTTTTGCAGTACCGAGGTTTGAACTCAGGGCCTACACCTTGGGCCACCCCACCAGCCCTTTTTTGTGAGAGTTTTTTTGAGATAAGGTCTGGAAAACTATTTGCCTAGGCTAGTTTCAAACCATGACCCTCCTGATCTTTGCCTCCTCAATAGCTAGGATTATAGGTGTGAGTCACCAGTGCCCATTCTGCCTCAGCATCTTAAATGCTGGGATTACAGATGTGTACCACCATGCCTGGCTTAAATAAATAGCTTTTGGAGAGGGTACTATCACAGTTTGAGTATTGCCCTTCCTTAGTAAGATTTCTAAGGTGGCATATCCAAATACATTGGTATGCTCTCAGGTAAAGAGAGCTGAAAAAAAGAAAGGATGCTGAGGCAGGAGGATAAGTTCAGGCCAGCATGGGCTACATAACAAGTTCAAGGCCAGCCTGCCTCAGACAAACTAAGATTCTTTAAAAAGAAAAAAAAACAAGAAGTTTAACAGTGAAATAACTTTTTAACTTAGTTATATGAGCAAAGCAACAAATGCATCATATTCTCTGAAGACTTCTCATCATGAAACATAGCTGTCTGTCTAGGTTAAGTTGTAGTTCTGCTTAGAGACAAGAGGATATGTGGGATAAATTCTAGAAAGCATCACTTGCTGGATATGGGCTTTATCCCTATCTGGAGGAAGAGACCCCAAATGCTTTCAAGGCCTCTCTTTGAATTTTCCAAGATATTAGCCTAGAGAAGTATTTATCTTTCTTGTTGGAATCATAAGATGAAATGATTAGGCTGAAGACTAAGATGGTATCCATGTTAGCATAAGCACTCATTGTAGACTGTCCACTGTAAATCTGTCATAGCCCCTGATAGCCATGATAGTTCACTGCTCTGGAACCAAGTTTCACCTTGGCAGAATCTGATTCCACCCTTATTGTTTTCCCTTATTTCCTGAAGATCCAGGAATAGATCTGATTGGGGAGTCAAATCTGCTTATTAATAATTGACTTACAAGGTCTTCCCTGACTTTACTGCTGGTTCCAATATGCTGATATAATTACTTAGAAGCTTTCCTAGCAGAAAAGGCATTGACACTCAGTAATTTGCATTATAAAGACTCAAAGATAGACATGTGGACATTCGTAAGCATGTTCACTGATGCAGGCACATAGATATAACACAAACATAAAGAGATAGGAAGATTAGGGAATGTAATTTCTAGAATAGAGCATGAGGTTAAGACTGAATGACTCAGTTGACTTACACGAGAGTGAGCACTGGGCTAAGAATCATTAGAATTTGGTTCTAGTACAAACCCTGATATTAAGTCTATCATCTTGGGAAAATAACTTGACTTCTTAGGATCTTAGTTTTTCTCCTGTCTCCTAACAGTCCCAACCAATAGATCTATAGAATTCATTCATGGTTATACACATAAACTCACATCAGCACAGACATACCTATTGAGTTTTATACATTTTCACACTCCTGAATAGTGAAGTATGGTTAAACAACATTCCTATGCCTATTGGTCCAAGAGGTTGTAAAGAAGAGCCAAATATAGTAGGTGTGCAGCTTAGAAAAGTTTTCCTAGTCAGGTAATTGCTGTTGAAGGTTTTTCTAAAGGTGTATCTTTTATCAAAGAATATACATCTAGTGTGATGACCTAAAGACTGCTTTTTTTTTTTTTTTTCTTTTTGAGACAGGGTCTTGCTGTATAGTCCAGGACGGCCAGAAACTCCTGCTTCTGCCTCCCAAGTACTGGGATTTCAGGCATATGTCACCACATCTGACTCTAAAGACTTTTTGATGGAGTAGCTAAGTGGATCATAAAGGAGAAATGAAGATCTATTCATGTACTCGCTTAAGTCCAGGGTCTTTACAATCTTCCTACCCACTATAAATACACTTCCTTAGAGCCAATGTGGATTTAGCTAAGCATAAGAAAGTTCTGGCTGGGGACCTGTGACTCACACCCGTAATCCTAGCTACTCAGGAGGCAGAGATCAGGAGAATGGAGGTTTGAAGACAGCCTGGGCAAATAGTTCACGAGACTGTGAGACTGTATCTCGAAAATACCCAGCACAAAAAAGGGTTGGTGGAGTAGCTCAAATGATAGAGTACCAGCCTAGCAAGTGTGAAGCCCTGAGTTCAAATTCCAGTCCCACCAAAAAAAAAAAAAGGTTCCGGAAGCTGAAACTCTTATTGATAATAATGTAAAGGAAGGTTGGAATTAGCATAATGGTTCAAGCTTGTAATCTCAGCACTTGAGAGACAAAGGCAAGAGGATCATGAGTTTGAGGCCAGTCTGGGCTACATACTGAGACCCTATCTCAAAAACACTGAATAGCCAGATGCTGGTGGCTTATGCCTGTAATCCTAGCTACTGAGGAGGCAGATATCAGAAGGATCGCAGTTCAAAGCCAGCCCCAGCAAATAGTTTGCAAAACCCCATCTTGAAAAAAACCCATCAGAAAAAAGGGCTGGTGGAGTGGCTTAAGGTGTAGGCTCTGAGTTCAAGCTCCAGTACTGCAAAACAAAAACAAAAACAAAACCTGAATAAATGGACAAATAAATTAACTAACTAAATAAAGGGAGCTTGGTTCAAGGGACTTTACATAAATGGCTTCATAGATTTGAATCAGATCATAATTTAGATACCACCCTGTTTCCTGGCATATTTATACAGCTTGAAATCTGGCTAAATTGAGTATCACAGAAGTCTTGGTGGGGAAATATAAAGGGAAGACATGTCACTGACTGAAGGACAATATGTTAGTAGAAATGTGGAAGGATGAAAAGAAGTACTGGACATTCAGTCCCAGAGCAAATTTGTTGTTTTGTCTTGTTTTTTGTGGGACTGTGCTTGCAAAGCAGGCACTCTACTGCTTGAGCCAAACTGCCAGTCCACCAGAGCAAATCTTCATTGGTAGTGTTTACCTTCCCCTGCTTCAGTTCCCTGGTTCTCTTGGCTACAGAAGAATAAAAGGCTCATTATCTTTTCTGGGTTTCATGATTTTTCTTTAGTATTTCCTTAATATGATTACATGATTCTCTGTCCCTTTGTGGCACTGACATTCCCCTCTCGGTTCTATTTGAAATGTTCTGTAGATGCCATATGACAGTGCTGCCACCTTGCATCAGAGGTAGGGAATGGATCTGAGGTCTCCTTATTCTCATCCACAAGGTGGCAGAAGGGCTCACTTTTCCCAAAAGAGACTTCCTGCTTGGCCAAAGATGAAGTGGAAAAAGTTTTCTTTTATTAACTCTCAGACCCCAATTTTTTCTTTTGTAACTCAGAGGTCCAGAAGACAGCCTGTATTTGGAGCAGGCCATATTGGGGAATACAGAGAAGTAGAAGAGCTGCAATTAACAAGTCAAAATATCTAGTGATGGAAAAATAGATATAGAACTATTTCTTTACTAACTGTTGCGGCTAATTTTTTCTTTCTTTCTTTCTTTCTTTTTTTTTTTTGGTGGTACTGGGCTTTGAACTCAGGACTTCATGCTTGCTAGACAGGTGCCCTTACTGCTTCAGCCACTCTGCCAGTCTTCAGCCAATTTTCTAAATGTTTGTGAGGCAGTTTAGAAAATAAGAAAACATTGGGACTCAGTTGTCATTTGACCTTTCCTGGTGACAGAGCTCTTTTTAATTGCAAATCCTATGCTAGTTGCAGAGCTAAGCAAAAAACTATGGAAACGTCCATTCATATGAAATTGAGGTACCTGAGAATTAGCATAAGTATATGCAGAATGATCCATCACCCTAGCCCAGGGGCCACCCAAACCCCTCCCCTCACACAGGTTACTGGTGGTTTAGAGCACCTTGAAACAGCCCTCCCTCTGTTTCCTGCTTCCATCCCACCTAGCCCACCTTGCCAGATGGGGCTACTAATGCTTTTTGTAATGCTTTTCCCTTTTCTTTAATAAACTCTATTACTCACACCCGCAACCCCCCCCACCCTCATTACTACATCCACGTATTCTGTCTAGATGCTTCCATGTGGGACACAAAAAATTTGAGAGCCTTCTGATCAGAAACTGCATGAGCCTACAATATTTCATATGTCTCTAGAGGAGAGGATATCTCTTTGGATCTTTTCCACCCAAAACCCCATCTGATCAAGAGGAAAAAAAAAGCTATAATGTGAGTTTTAAGATGTGTCCATTTTATACATGTGACTTCTGGAACAGAGTAGGAAACTAGTACTAGATGTGGCTCAATCAAGGTGGGTCTGCAGGAAGAGTGCAGAAGCCAGGAGGTTCTAGATTAGGTTCTGTAGTTGACTGAATTATTTTGAGCAACTTACTTAACCTTTCTGGGCTTCTGTTTCATTTTCTTTAATGAGGTGATTATAAAAGACAGCTTGCAAGGTTTCTACCAGCCCTAAAAGTATCTTGCCTCCACACTACTATTCTTTTCTTTTTGCTCATTTTGGTTTACATTTAATTTTTTTTGTGGTGGAGTATGTCATACACAGAGAAGAATGTTAGGACATAAGTATATTTAAAATAATAATGATACCAACATTGGTAAGGTGAACACATGTAACAATCATCCAAATTAAGAAATTGAACATTACTCCACTCCTGCAAAAAAACAAAACAAAACTGAACATTGCCAGTATCTTAGAAGTTCTGTGTCTGTCCCTCT